AGGGTGAGGAAAGTAAGGTGGGAGCGACATGTATACGAGTGTACATACTTTCCTGTCCTGGTGTTTGTGTCAGCAGGAGAGAGTGAAGTATCAGCAGGAGGTGATGAGAGCAGTAGTAGGGAGATGGTAGCAGTGAGGGGGAGATGTACAAGATTTGGGGTGGAGCAGAGGGGTAAAGAAATGAGATTTTGGGAACACAGGATAGTAATATGAAAAGGAGGAGTAGAGGCGGCATATTAAAAGGTAAATGGAGTGGGACATGGACTTGTAGGAGATGTTTCCCAGGGTGTTTGCTTGCAGTTCATTCAACGTGCAGTAGAGTTCCTTGTATCTTCCTGCTGCTTGAGTTATCCTGCTTTAGTTGTGTTCAACTGCATCTTCACACTCCAGCATCAAACACACGGCTGCGTTCAACTGCATCTTCACACTCCAGCATCAAACACACAGCTGAGTTCAACTGCATCTTCACACTCCAGCATCAAAACACACGGCTGCGTTCAACTGCAGCTTCACACTCCAGCATCAAACACACTCACGCAGAAAACTGCACCCCATCTGTGACTGTGCCCCCTGTCGTATTAATACACAGTGATGGGTACAATTCAATCAACTGGCCAAATAAAATCTTCCTTTGGCCATCCTTGGAGAGTCCTGTAGGGTCCAGTCTGGCCTATTGAGTAACACAGTGCAAAGTGCGACAACCAATAGAAACAAATATCATTTCTAATGACGTAACTCATCTCTGATTGGTTACTCATGAATTTTGACGTCCACCCTAATTTTAGCAGTTATGAGGAAAAACTAAGTGAAAGACTCAGGAAGTTAGAAGAGTCCTAACTTCTGCTTTACTGACAGACGCTCAGATCTTGCTGGACGGCCGCCATGTCTGCCATCTTCATCGTCATATTCCTGTGTAAGTTACAAAGACGTTTCTTCTATATTTTATCTGTGTTTCAACAAATTCAGCAGAAATGCGTCTAACAGATGATGACTGATCTGCATGTTCATGAGGGAAATAAGGATTTGATCCCCTTCACAAAACATGACTTAGTACTTGGTGGCCAATCCCTTGTTGGCAATCACAGAGGTCAGACGTTTCCTGGAGTTGGCCCCCAGGTTCGCACACATCTCAGGAGGGATTTTGGCCCACTCCTCTTGGCAGATCCTCTCCAAGTCACTAAGGTTTGGTGGCTGACATTTGGCAACTCAAACTTTCAGCTCCTCCACAGATTTTCCATCGGATGAAGGTCTGGAGACTGGCTAGGCCACTCCAGGACCTTAATGTGCTTCTTCTTGAGCCGCTCCTTTGTTGCCTTGGCCGTGTGTTTTTGGGTCATTGTCATGCCGGAACACCCATCCACCACCCATTTTCAATGCCCTGGCTGAGGGAAGAAGGTTCTTCACCCAAGATTTGATGGTACATTGCCCCGCCCATTGTCCCTTTGATGTGGTGCAGTTGTCCTGTCCCCTTAGAAAGAAAACACCCCCAAAGAAGAATGTTTCCACCACCATGTTTCACAGTTGGGATGGTGTTCTTGGGGTCATAGGCAGCATTCCTCGTCCTCCAAACACGGCGAGTTGAGTTGATGCCAAACAGCTGGATTTTGGTCTCATCTGACCACAACACTTCCCACCAGTCCTCCTCGGCATCATTCAGATTGTTCAGTGGCAGACTTCAGACGGGCCTGGACATGTGCTTCCTTGAGCAGAGGGACCTTGCGGGCACTGCAGGATTTCAGTCCTTGTCGGCGTAGTGTGTGTTACCAATTGTTTTCTTGGTGACTGTGGTCCCAGCTGCCTGGAGATCATTGACAAGATCCTCACATGTAGTTCTGGGATGATTCCTCACTGTTCTCATGATCATTGACACTCCACGAGGTGAGATCTTGCATGGTGCACCAGACCTAGGGAGACTGACACTTGTTTTGTGTTTCTTCCATTTGTGAATGATTGCACCAACTGTTGTCACCTTCTCACCAAGCTGCTTGGCCATAGTTTGGTAGCCCAGTCCAGCCTTGTGTAGGTCTACAATCTTGTCCCTGACATCCTTGGACAGCTCTTTGGTCTTTGCCATGGTGGAGAGTTTGGAATCTGATGGTTTGATTGTTCCTGTGGACAGGTGTCTTTTATACAGGTAACACAATGAGATTAGCAGCACTCCCTTTAAGAGACTGCTTCTAATCTCAGCTTGTTACCTGTATGAGAGACACCTGGGAGCCAGAAATCCTGCTGAATGATAGGGGATCAAATCCTTCTTTCCCTCATGAACATGCAGATCCGTCATCATTTTTGTTAGACGCATTTATGCTGAATTTGTTGTTGTATTCTGTCTCTCAGTGTTACACCGAACATTCCATTGTTAGACCGATCGTTTTTCTGTGTGAGGGGCCAACATTCCATTGTTAGACCGATCATTTCTGTGTGGGGGGCGAACATTCCATTGTTAGACCGATCGTTTCTGTGTGAGGGGGCGAACATTCTATTGTTAGACCGATCATTTCTGTGCGAGGGGGGGCGAACATTCAACATCAGCTGGGGAGCAAATACGCATTTCCTTCACTGTAATACACAGTATATACCACACATAATACACAGTATATACCACACATAATACACAGTATATACCACACATAATACACAGTATATACCACACATAATACACAGTATATACCACACATAATACACAGTATATACCACACATAATACACAGTATATACCACACATAATACACATAATACACAGTATATACCACACATAATACACATAATACACAGTATATACCACACATAATACACAGTATATACCACACATAATACACAGTATATACCACACATAATACACAGTATATACCACACATAATACACAGTATATACCACACAAAAAACACATAATAAACAGTATATACTACACATAATACACATAATACACAGTATATACCACAAAAATACACATAAATACACAGCATATACCACACATAATACACAGTATATACCACACAAAAAACACATAATACACAGTATATACCACACATAAAACACATAAATACACAGTATATACCACACATAATACACAGTATATACCACACATAATACACAGTATATACCACACATAATACACAGTATATACCACACATAATACACAGTATATACCACACATAATACACAGTATATTACTACACATAATACACAGTATATACTACACATAATACACAGTACATAATATACCACACATAATACACAGTATATACTACACATAAAACACATAATACACAGTATATACCACACATAATACATATAACACACAGTATATACCACACATAAAAACACATATAATACACAGTATATACCACACATAATACACATAATACACAGTAAATACTACACATAAAACACATAATACACAGTATATACCACACATAATACATATAACACACAGTATATACCACACATAAAACACATATAATACACAGTATATACCTCTCATAATACACAGTATATACCACACATAATACACAGTATATACCACACATAATACACAGTATATACCACACATAATACACATAATATACAGTATATACCACACATAATACACAGTATACACAGTATATACCACAATATAATACACAGTATATACCACACATAATACATATAATACACAATAACGGCATTATTAAAACCTAAAAAACATAAACTGTCCCGTGACTGTGATAAAATTTTCATGACATAAAGAAAGATAAATCTCAAAAAAGGTGTTATTTTTTTTTAAGGGTATAAATTTTTTTTCTCATGTTTTGTGTTTTCTTTTCACAGCACTGAATATGGGAAAATCTGGTAAGTGCAAATATGGGATTGGAGATACACCACAAAACACGAATAGTAAAATGAACGTGGTAATTACAGTATTTATATGTGAAAATGATTTGTATAGAAATGTTTATTGAATTATTTATATGGGTTTTGACTTCATGCTTTAGTAACACCATCACCACAAAAATATAAGGCCCCTTTCAGGTTGGGGGGGATCTGTCAGCGTGATCCTCCTGCTCAGTGGGGGGGATTTCTCCGCTGATCCCCGCTGAGCAGGCGGAGGATAGGTCCCTATCACACACACTGCCCGCTGATTTCAACGGGACGGTTGGATGGAGACGGACCGCCTGTCCATTTCCACCCGATTGCCATCCGATCCGCTGGCTTGGATCGGATGCCGGTGGGTGTCAGTGGACTATTGCCTGCCGGTCCATAGAAGTCTACGGATGGACCGATTGGATCCGCCTGAAAAACGGACAGGCGGATCCACAATATACGTGAATTTCAAAAATTTAGAACAAAATGTATTCTGCTCCGTGTCTTTGCTAAAAAAAAAATCCCAATATGTGTCAATTAATTGGTTTACGTGAAAGTTATAGCGTCTGCAAATGGTGGTATGGATACTGGGATTTTTTTTTTCTACTAGTAATGGCGGCGACTGCGACGGCATTCTGACACTGGGGGGGAACTGACTTGGAGTCACTGACATCTCCAGTGACACCAATACAGTGATCAGTGCTAAATAAAAAGCCCTGACACTGTACTAATGGCACTGGGCAGGAAGGGGTTAACATCTGGGGCGATCAAAGGGTTAACTGTGTGCTGTGTGTGGTTTACTAGGGGAGACATGCTGCTGTGCAGAGAGATACAAAGCAGCATGTCCTTGCTGGCAGGAGAGAGATCTGTGTTGTATACGTACAGACCTCTTCCCTTTCACTATTCCTCGGCGATCGCCAGGTGCCGGCAGGGAATATCTGGCTGGAACCTGGTGATTGACAGCTGTAGCCACCAATTGCGGCGCGGGTAGGGCGGCAGGTGTGTGCCCCTTAGTCAGAAATGCAAAATCACGCATATATATATATGTGATTTTTCTCAGCCCTGCAGCCCTGTGGCAGTGGTTCTGGTATAGGGTGGCCGGAAAGCCGTTAAAATAAATGAAAAAAAAAACAGCGTGGGACTCCCCCATTTAGTTTGGTACGGATTTTGAGGGGAACCCCCCAATAAAAATATGCTGACAGCAGACGAGTCATGGTTTGTTAAGGACCCGGAGGCTGCCCGCTCCTTGATACAAAATAAATTCTGAAAATGAACAACATAACAAATATCTCCGCTCTCCCAGGACCCCGCATTCACTATATCCGCTCTCCCCAGACCCTGCATTCACTATATCCGGTCTCCCCGGACCCCGCATTCACTATATCCGCTCTCCCCGGACCCCGCATTCACTATATCCGCTCTCCCCGGACCCCGCATTCACTATATCCGCTCTCCCCGGACCCTGCATTCACTATATCCGCTCTCCCCGGACCCTGCATTCACTATATCTGCTCTCCCTGGACCCCGCATTCACTATATCCGCTCTCCCCGGACCCCGCATTCACTTATACGCTCTCCCTGGACCCCGCATTCACTATATCCACTCTCCCCGGACCCCGCATTCCCTATATCCGCTCTCCCCGGACCCCGCATTCACTATATCCACTCTCCCCGGACCCCGCATTCACTATATCCTACTATATGACTACTATATGTCACTATATGACTACTGCAACTCCCTCCTCACCGGCCTACCCAAGTGCAGGCTCTCCCCGCTCCAGACCATCCTGAACTCAGCTGCCAGACTCATCCACCTCACCACCCGCTCCACCTCTGCCACCCCCCTCTGCCTCTCCCTCCACTGGCTCCCGAATGCCCAACGCATCAAATTTAAACTGCTAACCCTGACCTACAAAGCCGTTCACAACACTGCCCCTGACTACCTCACCAACCTTATCACCAAGTACCACCCTACCCGTACCCTTCGCTCCTCACAGGACCTCCTTCTATCCTGCTCCCTGGTCTCCTCCTCCCATGCACGACTGCAGGACTTCTCCAGGTCCTCCCCCATCCTCTGGAACTCCCTGCCCCAATCCATCAGACTATCGCCTTCCCTATTCACATTCAGGCGCTCCCTCAAAACCCATCTCTTCAGGGAAGCCTACCCCACCCTCACCTAACGGCCATCCTCCCTCATTCCTCCCACCACTTCATCCCCCTCAGCCACTTCCTACTGTACCACTACCCCCTCCCTCCTAGATTGTAAGCTCGTAAGAGTAGGGCCCTCTTACCCCTCGTACATTGTTTGTTGTTGTTGTACTGTGCCATGTATTGTCCCCCCCTCTATTGTACAGCGCTGAGCAAACCCTTTGGCGCTATATAAACTCGTAGTAATAATAATATCATCCGCTCTCCCCGGACCCCGCATTCACTATATCCGCTCTCCCCGGACCCCGCATTCACTATATCCGCTCTCCCCGGACCCCGCATTCACTATATCCGCTCTCCCCGGACCCCGCATTCACTATATCCGCTCTCCCCGGACCCCGCATTCACTATATCCGCTCTCCCCGGACCCCGCATTCACTATATCCGCTCTCCCTGGACCCCGCATTCACTATATCCGCTCTCCACGGACCCCGCATTCACTATATCCGCTCTCCCCGGACCCTGCATTCACTATATCTGCTCTCTCAGGACCCCACATTCACTATATCCGCTCTCCCTGGACCCCGCATTCACTATATCCGCTCTCTCAGGACCCCGCATTCACTATATCCGCTCTCTCAGGACCCCGCATTCACTATATCCGCTCTCCTCGGACCCCACATTCACTATATCCACTCTCCCCGGACCCTGCATTCACTATATCTGCTCTCCCCGGACCCCGCATTCACTATATCCGCTCTCCCCGGACCCCGCATTCACTATATCCGCTCTCCCCGGACCCCGCATTCACTATATCCGCTCTCCCTGGACCACGCATTCACTATATCCGCTCTCCCCGGACCCCGCATTCACTATATCCGCTCTCCCCGGACCCCGCATTCACTATATCCGCTCTCAATGGACCCCGCATTCACTATATCCGCTCTCCCCGGACCCCGCATTCACTATATCCGCTCTCCCCGGACCCCGCATTCACTATATCGCTCTCCCCGGACCCCGCATTCACTATATCCGCTCTCCCCGGACCCCGCATTCACTATATCCGCTCTCCCCGGACCCCGCATTCACTATATCCGCTGTCCCTGGACCCCGCATTCACTATATCCGCTCTCCCCGGACCCCGCATTCACTATATCCACTCTCCCCGGACCCTGCATTCACTATATCCGCTCTCAATGGACCCCGCATTCACTATATCTGCTCTCCCCGGACCCTGCATTCACTATATCCGCTCTCCCAGGACCCTGCATTCACTATATCCACTCTCCCAGGACCCTGCATTCACTATATCTGCTCTCCCTGGGCCCCGCATTCACTATATCCGCTCTCCCCGGACCCCGCATTCACTATATCTGGTCTCCCCGGACCCTGCATTCACTATATCTGGTCTCCCACAGTACACACAACATGGAAATCCTATTATTTTAGTAAAATAAACTGCTAAATCCCTTTTCTCATCAGCAGTATATAGCAGTCTTGTTACTTCTATCAGTGTCCAGCTGACCATGAGCTAAAGCTTGCAGGAAAAGTTTTCTTTCCACTCTAGGAGGATGCAGAACCCTGACCTCTGTCTGGACAGTGCTGTTTGGCCCTGTGCTGATCAAATGCACTCTCCCAGTAAGAAAAAAAAAAAAAACCTCTCCAGAAGTACACACTAAACTGAGTGTGTGCAGAGTGTCTCCACATGATATGTCTTATCAGGAGATAAGAGGGGGTACTGGGATAAGGGGAGGATCAGAGAAGACAAGATCAAACAGCGTTTTTTACACAATGCAGAGGTTTAACCCCTTAGGTTCCACAGTGAGCTTTACTGCATCTACACACTGATTGTACTGTTGGGGGTTTAGTAACGCATTAAAACAGAAATTCTCTCCATGATTTCATTGTTGAACGTTGTGCTACCCATGTGTCTATATGTGGTCTCCTCTCTTCTATAGGAGGTGCCATCAGACCGGTGGTGACCTTCACACCCAACTGGGGGAATGTACTAGTAGATGATGAAGTGACTCTAAGATGTAATGTGCCGTCTCCTGTATTGGAGGAACCCCGGACCTATCACTGGTACAAAGACAACCGACCAATACCAGGAGATCAACAGAACCTTCACATAATATCTGGTGTGCCGGGCATTGGAGATTACCAGTGCCGGGTCAGTGCCGGTGATATCAGTGATCCCGTCTCTCTAAATGTTACAAACAGTGAGTGATCTCCTCATCTCCATAATTCCATTGTATGATGTCTGTAAATATAACAATCATTTTCTTCTCAGCTTATGTCATCCTGCAGAGACCTCCATCCGCCATTTATGAAGGAGACCCCCTGACTCTGAGATGTCATCATATAAAAGAATATCACAGCTCTGCACCAAGATATTACAAGAATAATGAAAAGATAAAATCACAATTCCCGGAATCAGAGCTCCATATTCAGAAAGTAAATCTGAGCACAGCCGGACGTTATAAATGTACTAAAATGATGCAATTTTCTCGTAGTTCCACTGGCCATGTGTTCTCAGATGAATTCTTCCTCTCTGTGAAAGGTGAGTCCCTATAACACAGCAAATCCCAGAGATGGTTCAAGGATCTGGGGATGGATGGATGTAGAGGGAAGAGCTCAGTATGGGGATCTGGGGATGGATGGATGGATGTAGAGGGAAGAGCTCAGTATGGGGATCTGGGGATGGATGGATGGATGTAGAGGAAGAGCTCAGTATGGGGATCTGATGGGGATGGATGGATGGATGTAGAGGGAAGAGCTCAGTACGGGGATCTGGGGATGGATGATGGATGTAGAGGGAAGAGCTCAGTAGGGGATCTGGGGATGGATGGATGGGGATGAGAGGGAAGAGAGCTCAGTACGGGGATCTGGGGATGGATGGATGTAGAGGGAAGAGCTCAGTACGGGGATCTGTGGATGGATGGATGTAGAGGGAGAGCTCAGTAAGGGGATCTGTGGATGGATGGATGTAGATGGAAGAGCTCAGTATGGGGATCTGGGGATGGATGGATGGATGGATGTAGAGGGAAGAGCTCAGTATGGGATCTGGGGACGGATGGATGTAGAGGGAAGAGCTCAGTATGGGGATCTGGGGATGGATGGATGGATGGATGTAGAGGAAGAGCTCAGTATGGGGATCTGGGGATGGATGGATGGATGTAGATGGAAGAGCTCAGCACGGGGATCTGGGGGATGGATAGATGTAGAGGGAAGAGCTCAGTATGGGGATCTGGGGATGGATGGATGTAGAGGGAAGAGATCAGTATGGAGATCTGGGGATGGATGGATGTAGAGGGAAGAGCTCAGTATGGGGATCTGGGGATGGATGGATGGATGTAGAGGGAAGAGCTCAGTATGGAGATCTGGGGATGGATGGATGTAGTGGGAAGAGCTCAGTATGGGGATCTGGGGATGGATGGATGGATGTAGAGGGAAGAGCTCAGTATGGGGATCTGGGGATGGATGGATGGATGTAGAGGGGAAGAGCTCAGTATGGGGATCTGGGGATGGATGGATGGATGTAGAGGGAAGAGCTCAGTATGGGGATCTGGGGATGGATGAATGTAGAGGGAAGAGCTCAGTATGGGGATCTGGGGGGATGGGGATGGATGGATGGGGATGTGGATGTAGAGGGAAGAGCTCAGTATGGGGATCTGGGGATGGATGATGTATGTAGAGGGAAGAGCTCAGTATGGGGATCTGGGGATGGATGAATGTAGAGGGAAGAGCTCAGTATGGGGATCTGGGGATGGATGGATGGATGTAGAGGGAAGAGCTCAGTATGGGGATCTGGGGATGGATGGATGGATGGATGTAGAGGGAAGAGCTCAGTATGGGGATCTGGGGGATGGATGGATGTAGAGGGAAGAGCTCAGTATGGGGATGGATGGATGGATGTAGAGGGAAGAGCTCAGTATGGGGATGGATGGATGGATGGTAGAGGGAAGAGCTCAGTATATGGGGATTGGGGGATGGATGGATGTAGAGGGAAGAGCTCAGTATGGGGATGGATGGATGTAGAGGGAAGAGCTCAGTATGGGGATGGATGGATGGATGTAGAGGGAAGAGCTCAGTACGGGGATCTGGGGATGGATGGATGGATGTAGAGGGAAGAGCTCAGTATGGGGATCTGGGGATGGATGGATGGATGAATGTATGTAGAGGGAAGAGCTCAGTTTGATAGGAAGTGAATCAAACAATAAAAACTTGGGATCTCAGCACGATGCAACCCAAATCCATCAATGTATCCATGTCATGATCTCCTCTTCCAGAACTCTTCTCCCCTCCAGAAATAAAAGTGGCCCCGTCCAGGGTAATAGAAGGAGGTGAGATGACGGTGACGTGTGACACCAGACTGGATCCGCTCAGAGGCGGCACAGAGCTGCACTTTGCCTTCTACAGAGATGGACGGACTGTGAGGGACTTCAGTGTATCCGATACATACAGAGTGCGGTCAGCTCAGCTGGAGGATTCTGGGAAATATACAGTTGTGACCAAAATTATTCAACCTGTGAGGAAATTGAGTGTTTTGGGCCAGTTTGACATTGCTTTTGATCATTCATCATCTTGCTTACATTTACATTATAGAGGCACTTGTAGGTCAGACAAATATAACATAACAGATTATAATGAAATAACCACAAATGTCTTTTCTGTGCTCACAGCATTATCAGTTTTATTCAACCCCCAAGTGGACATTCAATCTTAGTACTTAGTACAGCATCCTTTTACAGTTAAAAACAGCTTTTAAAAAAAAATATGTGAAGCATAGCTTGACACAAGTGTCTTGCAGCGATCTACGGGTATCTTCGCCCATTCTTCATGGGCAAAGTCACTCCAGTTCAGTCACATTCTTAGGCTTGCGCCATGCAAATGCTTTGGGACAGTCGACACAATTCTAATCATTTTTGGCTCTATACACCACCACAATGGATTTGAAATGAAATGAACAAGATGTGTTTAACTGCAGACTGTCAGCTTTAATTTGAGGGTATTTACTCCAAATGGTGACAGAGGTGGGAATGTCCTGTTGAAAGGTCCAACGTCTCCCAAGCCTCAGGTGTGTGACGGACTGCATCAATTTCCATCCAATATCTCCTGGTACTGAAGAGAATTCATGGTACCTTGCACACGCTGAAGCTTCCTGTACCTGCAGTCAATTACAGCCCCAAAGCATGATGGACCCTCCACCATAGCTTCACAGTAGGCAAGGTGTCATCTTTCATCTCTGCCAGGCCTCTTCTGCAACTCTTCAAACATAGCTTGTTCATGGGCCCAAACATTTCTAATTTTGTCTCATCAGCAAGTGAACACTATCCCACGGATTCAGGTCAGGTTTGTCCACATGGCTTTTGGCCATACTGCAGTCATTCCACTTCTTTCCCTTAGACAAAAACTCTTTGGTGGCTTTTGCAGTCTGCTTTGGGTCATTGTCCATCTGCACTGTGAAGCGTCCAATGAGTTCTAAAGCATTTGGCTGAATATGAGCCGATAATATTCCCGAAACACTTCAGAATTCAGTCACACGGGCTTTTCTCAGCAGTCACATCATCAATCAAATACAAGCAGAAGCAGTTCGAAGTCAGCATCTTCTTACATGCCCACGCCAGGTACACTACCACCAGTGCCCTGATCACTTGAATTTGCGAATATGCTTCCTGAGGATGTCTCTTGGTAGCAGTTTAACATCTTTGCAATCTTCTCTATAGCCATTGCCACTTCTGGTAAGAGAAATGACCTCGGTCTCATCTGTCCTGGACCATGTTGTTCCCTTCACTGTGAAGGTTTGTAACCACACCAGTAAATGTCTAGAATCTGAGTTCACAGTCATTTTAAAGCTCACCAATGGTTTACATCTTATGGTGAATGCTCTGTATTCACTCTGGTGAAGTCTTCTCCTGATTGGTGACTTTGACACACATACACCTACCTCCTGGAGAGTGTTCTTGATCTGACCAACTGTTGTGAAGGGTGTTTTCTTCATCAGGGAAAGAATTCTTCGGTCATCCACCACAGTTGTTTTCTGTGGTCTTCCGGGTCTTTTGGTGTTGCTGAGCTCTCCGGTGCATTCCTTCTTTTTAAGAATTTGTTCCAAAACATTTGATTTGTTACAATTCCAAATGCACTATAGTCCCTAATGTTTTTGCTATCTCTCTGGGGGTTGAATGTTTTGGTTTTTTGAAGTGAGGACGATGGCTTGACACTGTGGTGACAGATGAGTGATGAGCTCATCTTGAGTACGTTGACAGCAACATATTCCAATCAAATCCCCGTACAGTTGTATAATTGTTCTCTCCCTCGTTTCCTCCATTCACAGATTGCGGCAATGATGGGATCCTGGCCAAGTACATAAGACCACCACCAAGATTTTTTGGAATCCCAGTGGGAGGCACATATGCAAACTGTTGTAATTCCTACACCGTTCACCTGATTTGGATTAAAAAATCCTCAAATTAATGCTGACAGTCTGCAGTAAAAAAAAATCTTGTTCATATCATTTCAAATCCATTGTGGTGATGTATAGAGCCAAAAATCACATTTAGAATTGTGTCGATTTTCCCAATATTTATGGACCTACGGGACTGTATATATATATATATATTATATTTTTATTTAAGTCCGCGGAAGTGTGCAAAAAAAAGTCCCGTAAGTGGCAAAAAAACGTGCCAGTGCAAAACCAACACAAAAAAGTGCACTTAGGGGTGTGCTTTGACCACCCCTCGAAGGGGTAGGACCTCTACCCTGTTTCCTGACAGGGACTAAGGTTTCCACATGGTCCACCTAGCCAAAAGACCTGGCGGACCCCTTTCCTTGTGGCTAGCCGAAGCCAGCCATCAAGTACTAGGTCAGGGGGCTCTCCCGAAAAGAGACCCCCTAGGGCAGGGGGGGAAGGAACCAAAAGGCCACACATCCTCCCCTTAGACTTCAGGGCAGGCCCGAGGACCCAAACCCTACCGTCTGTGAGAAAAAACACACACATAAGTGAAAAGTGAAACAAACGTGGGAGAAAAATTAAATTAAATAAATAAATAAGTAAAAATAAAAAAGTGGCCCTGTAATTGTGCCCTGGCTGGGCCCTGAGGCCTGTAGCAAAAAAAAATTGCCCTGGACTTAGCCAAAAGGCCTAGCCCTAAATGGCGCAGTGCCGATAAAGTGTTTGGATCAGTGACCATGTGAACGTTTCACACTTGGGATCCCATCACCATGTGCTACTAGGAGCACCCCTGAGGTGACCACTCAGGGGCCACTGTTCCGTGGACTCTCTGCCTCCCCGGCCCCTGGCCAGACAAGGTAGATCCGTTCAAACCAGGAGGAACTGGACCCCTCTGGCTTTCCCGTGGGAATTACTCCTGGGCCCCAACTGCCTGTGGGCACCTCGGTTTCTGTTCCAGCCGGTACTAGCCATCAGAGCCCCCATCATTCCAGCAGGGGTACTATACAGCCAACCATCCTTCCAAGCAGGAATGATGGCGGAGCGCCCCCTACTGGACACTAAGGACAGATACTACACTTGATCTTAGCCAAAAGGCCGAGAATCCTTATATCCATCAATATATCCATGTCATGATCTCTTCCAGAGCTCTTCTCCCCTCCGGAAATAAATGTGGCCCCGTCCAGGGTAATAGAAGGAGGTGAGATGACGGTGACGTGTGACACCAGACTGGATCCGCTCAGAGGCGGCACAGAGCTGCACTTTGCCTTCTACAGAGATGGACGGACTGTGCAGGAATTCAATGTATCCGATACATACAGAGTGCTGTCAGCTCAGCTGGAGGATTCTGGGAATTATACCTGTGAAGTGAGGACGATGGATGACCATGTGAGGAAGATGAGTGATGAGCTCCATATCCAGATGTATGGTGAGCACATATCATCCAATCACACATTTCCCCGTACAGTCGTATATATTGTTCTCTTCCTCGTTCTCCTCCATTCACAGATTGCGGCAATGATGGGATCCATGCCAAGTAATGACCACCACCAAGATTTTCTGGACTTCCAGTTGGGTTCAATAGGTCCCTTCTATTTAAAATTAAAAATGTATTTATTTAAAAAAAATATGAGAGATAAAAAAAAAAAAAAAAAACACATTTCATATCTTTTGTTTTTGCTCTAATGAAGTAAATGTTACATTCGGGAAGTTCAGATGTTCTACTTGAAGAAGAATGCAGGTCCTGGGCTTCTAGCACAAGCAGCTTTCTCCAATGGCATTCTATGGCTGTCCCGCGATACAGACCGGGGAGATCAGATTGTACACACCACTGAGTGGTGCCACCCAGGAGGAAAATCGGTTGTTTCTGTAACACACTAATGGTGCGAAATTCGAACGAAAATTCTTAGAAAAAGAAAAATTCTTTCGGAGTTCGACCCGCGTGTGGCCGCCTTAAGTGAAGAGGATGAATTTCGTGTGTGCTTCAATACCCAATCATGTGCAGGGATGAGCGGAGAGATTTAATGAAACTATTTTTTCCATCAAATATCTGGAATGTCTGAAATTCCATCAATATTATCCATAAGTTGAAATTTGCTGAAATTAACTACAATTTTGTCAAATTGTTTGCAAACAAAGACATGGATGTCACTGACGTCTGATACGGAAATTCTTTTTAGTTGCATCTGATGTGCACCCAGAAAGGAATGATGACGTAGCACCCCTCAAGTTTAGCTAGGGGGGGGAGCTAGTTAAGTTTTTTTAGGCAGAGGCTGAGTAGCAGGCTGGGATGAGTCAGCCTCGGAGTGAAGTTTCCTCAAGACAGGCTAGGGAGGTTCTGAGGGTCAGAGCTACTGGAGCCCTTCCACCAACCTAAGAGCTTTCTGGAGGAGGGGAAGAAGCTCAGATCTACATACTTGAGGGACTTTGGCCAATCCCATGGCAGGAGGCTGGGCATAGTGAGGTTACCTCAATACAGGCTAGGAAGGTTCTGAGGGTCAGAACTTCTGGATCTCTCCCACCAACCAAAGAGCTTTCTGGAGGAGGGGGGGAAGAAGCTCAGATCTACATACTTGAGGGACTTTGGCCAATCCCCTGGGAGGAGGCTGGGCATAGTGAGGTTACCTCACTTTGGCCATATCCCCTGGGAGGAGGCTGGGCATAGTGAGGTTTACCTCAATACAGGCTAGGGAGGTTATGAGGGTCAGAGCTTCTGGAGCCTTCCCACCTCTCCAGAAAACTGAGAGCTTTCTAGAGGAGGGATGGAGGAGGGAAGGAAGCTCAGATCTATATTCTTGAGGGACCTTGGCCAATCCCATGGCAGGAGGCTGGGCATAGTGAGGTTACCTCAAGACAGGCTAGGGAGGTTATGAGGGTCAGAGCTTCTGGAGCCTTCCCACTTCTCCAGAAACCTGAGAGCTTTCTAGAGGAGGGATGGAGGAGGGAAGGAAGCTCAGATCTATATTCTTGAGGGACCTTGGCCAATCCCATGGCAAGAGGCTGGGCTTAGTGAGGTTACCTCAAGACAGGCTAGGGAGGTTATGAGGGTCAGAGCTTCTGGAGCCCTCCCACCTCTCCAGAAACCTGAGAGCTTTCTAGTGGAGGGATGGAGGAGGGAAGGAAGCTCAGATCTACATACTTCAGGGGCCTTGGCCAATCCCCTGGCAGGAGGCTGGGCATAGTGAGGTTACCCCAAGACAGGCTAGGGAGGTTATGAGGATCAGAGCTTCTGGAGCCCTCCCACCTCTCCAGAAACCTGAGAGCTTTCTAGAGGAGGGATGGAGGAGGGAAGGAAGCTCAGATCTACATACTTGAGGGACCTTGGCCAATCCCCTGGCAAGAGGCTGGGCATAGTGAGGTTACCCCAAGACAGGCTAGGGAGGTTCTGAGGGTCAGAGCTTCTGGAGATTCATAGATTAAACATAATAATACAACAACTACTAATAATAATACATTTCAAAAATATTACAAAAATAAAAACAATGGCAGTTTTGTTTATCGTTTTCTTGTCTATTTGTATGATAGGTTGGGGTTAACATTCCTTGATTTCTTAGACTCTGATGTCATCTTCCCAGCTACAGAGGGGCTATTTTTTGCCACAAGAACAGGTCCAGAATACCTGAAAGGAGCTATTTTCAGCCAAAACTTGATGCTGAGTCTTCTATTGTCCTCCCTGTAGCGGAGAGGAAGGTCCTTCTTCCGGTGTCCATGTCACTGACATATTGGGTCCTCTCAGGATCCAGAAGACTTCAGTGGTAGGATGAGGAGGTGACTTTTTTTTTAAAAAAGATTCGGACTGCAGCTCTGGGTCCATCAGTTGTAACTCCAGAATGTAGTGCTGGTGAGGGACAAGAATGGAGGAGTTTGGTGAGTATAAAAGGCCTTCCTCTTGTAGCGCTCACCCCCGAAAGGTCCTGCTGGTTTGGTCCTGAGGTTCCTTCTCCAATAAGTGCACTAGCAGCCAGGCACACAGTCTCTAACACTCTTCTGGCTTAATCATTAGTCTACCAGGGGTCTCCAAACTATGGCCCTCCAGGTGTTGAGGAACTGCAAGTCCCATGAGGCCTTGCAAGACTCTGACAGCCACCAGCCAGACTCTCAGAAGCATGATGGGACTTGTAGCTGGAGGGCCATAGTTTGGAGACCTCTGGTCTAGGGGGTTCCTTTTTTATACTTTATTGAAAACTTGAACTTGGATGGGTGCAGAGTTACTATGGTCTACTCCAGCTGATTGTCACTCCAGGAACTGGCTCTGGTGAAGACCATTTGAATGAGTTAGGTGAGTATGAAAAACCTTCGAATTACATTTGTAAAATATTTGCTGAATGGTTGTTAACGGGTACAAGACAGGGGTGGTGAAGCCTTTCCTGAAGATAGTAAGTAGACACAGCTTCACCTTATTCACTGATCATTACTTTTCAAAGTGAAGATTGACTCTACAAGGTCAACAGCCTCTTTAGTAGATCCACGTCAAAGAGTGAAGACCGCTTCTCTACAGGATTTATGTTGTGCTTTGACTATGTATCTTCTAATTATCTCCTCAGATTACACGGTGCAAAACATAATACGACTGGCAATCTCTGCATTGGTATTGGCTGCCTCCCTAGGCTTCATCTACTTCCACAACAAGTGGTAGAGAAGAAGAAGAACTTCTAAGAAGGTGCCATCATCGGGGGACATTTAATACGAAGAGGGAAAATTGTCTTGGCTGAACGAACAAACAATTTTTATATTTTCTTTTTTTTTTTTTTATATATAATTGTGCAAACACAGATATTATATGACATTATACTGCAGGAAAAAAGAAGAGAGATTTCTACGGAGCTCACAATATCTTGAGTCATGGAGAATACAGAAGTGGTCGCTCTGATCTCTCACCATCAGGAGAGAGGAAGGAAATGTAGAGACGCTCTGATATAGAAATGAAGACGGCATCAAAGAGATATTTTCAGACTTTGGGGCATCTGACCTTGTATTAGATACATTGTATTTTTTTTTTGTTTTTTTTTTTACATATCTAAATATAAAACTGATAAAATGTTTTCAGATAATACCCTCCAGTGCACACAGGGCAAAGAAAAGCTCCAATAAAAAAAAAAAAAATGGCAACTGCCCTCAATTTATAACTGGCCTTTTGCAGCAAGAAGCAAAAAAAAAAAAGCTATGAAACAGGTATTTTTCTGACCTGATCTAACAGATACTATTTAAAACAAAAACATTATTATTAGTATTTGTAACAAAACAAGAGAGGAAAAATAAGAGAAGATCATTTTTGTGGGTTTACATAAACGGCTCTTCATTATTTGTATGTACTCTTTTCCAGGATTTATTTTTGTTTTTTTTCATATATATTAAAAAAAAAAATACTAACATGAAAAAATATAAATACGAAGCACAAAAATATTATTTCTCCTTGTTCTCTATGGGTTTTTATTATTTGAGATTTTTATATATAAAAATAAATGACAAAATATGGGAATAAAGCACAAAAGAATATATTTGTGTTTTTACTTAAAAACAAAATAATTAAAAATCTTGATTCCTAAATTTTGGAGGGAACAAGAAGTACCAAAAACTACGGATTGGATAAGAAAGGTAGATCAGATATATAGAAGGGAGGAACTATTTCATATAGATGAGGATAAAATGGAGTGTTTTTGCGAGAAATTGAAAAAATGGGAGGAGTTTAAGAAGGTTAAACTAACTGAAAGTAAATAGGAAACAGGAATGGATGAAAACCCTGGGACCCCCATAGAGAGGGGAAGGATGGAGGGAGGGTTGGGATGGGGTGGGGCAGGGGCAGGGGAGGGGAGGGGAGGGAGGGGGATGTACTGATTGGGATTGGGTGGGGGGAGCAGAAAGTTTTGTATTTTTGTATTATGGGTGAAAATAGTTGAATGAGAGATACTGATTTTTTTTTTATTGATGCAATAGATGAAATGTAAAACTTAATAAAATATTAATAAAAAAATAAAATAAAAATAAATGTCAAAATATGGGAATAAAGCACAAAAGAAATATATTTGTGTTTTTTACTAAAAAACAAAATACACAAAAAAGAAAAAAAAAATACGTGCTTGTGTAGTATTTCTTTAAATTCTATCTTTTAAATGTTACTATTTTTTTTTTTATTGAAAAAAAAAACAAAAAAACAGGAGCGTCAGATCTCAGCAAAATCACATACAATGGCACTAAATAGTGATTTTCTATTTTTTTTTGAATGTTTTCAATTTCTAAGATTAAAAATCTTGATTCCTAAATTTTGGAAGGAACAAGAAGTACCAAAAAAAACTACGGATTTGGATAATGTATTGATTGGGATTGGGTGGGGGAAACAGGAAGTTTTGTATTTTTTGTATTATGGGTGAAAATAGTTGAATGAGAGATAATGATTTTTTTTTATTGATGCAATAGATGAAATGTAAAACTTAATAAAA